ATGAACCCCATCGAAAACCTTTGGGCCATACTCGACGGGCAAATCAAGAAACAACAACAACAAAAAAAAAACAAAAACAACAACTTCGAAGAGCGATCTACTCCAAGTTTTGAAGCAAGCGAGATGATTCTCACGATGCCCCAAAGGATCAACGAACTCTACGAAGCGAAAGGAAGATCTACTAGATATTAATGAAATTATAAATATATCAATTCATGTCAATATGATTGAAAAATTTCATTTTTTCTGAAAAGGTGGTGTCTATTTACTTTTGAGCACTCAGTGTATATCTTCAGAGTCTTACAACGCTAGAGACCGGGTAAAGCACAGATAGCCCATTATGTAGCTTTGTGCTTAATTACAAACAAACTACTAACTATTATGTAGTGAGCTAGGTGATTTTGTGCCTAAGGCTTCGTGTAAACACGCGTCGAGTACAAAGAAAGCCAATCACAACAATATCGCATATATTGTGTATTTTAAATTACAGCCACATAAATCAACTTTCATGAAAAATAATTAACAATGGGTTTGGGTACAAAATATTCAGCTGATTTTGCTGTAGGCTTGTGAAAGAAAAATATTAATAATGAAATTCGCACTCACAATTTCAGCGAAGTACGAAAATCAGTAGAATAAAATCGCCATATACAATAGAAGATAAATCTACTATGTTAATTGTCTACTGTTAGAAAAATCACTGAAATAGTCGCAATAAACCGTGTAGAGTCAAAGTAAAACAGCGAAGTCTAGAAACGACAAATCATTAACGTGACAACTTCCAATTAATGCTCTATAAGTTGCACAAATTATTTATCAATTATTGCGCATTAGTAAAACACCGGATTTTTTCAATGGCGGAAAGTAAAGGACTTAAAGAAATTATTCAGGGCGAAAAAACGAAGGCGATTGAATTAATTTTCTACCCTATGACATATTCAATACTGCATTCATTACTGTTGTTCAGGTTTCAGTAAAATATTCATAGCCATATTTTTCTGTAGCGGCTTGTAAAACTGTAATAAATAATAATAAGACTGAAGACACTATTATGAACAGTGCTTAATTAAATGGCTTCTACTTTTCTGCGATGCTTGAATGGCTTCGAATAGCTTATATTGGAAGTGAAGAAAAACTCAGAAAATTTTAGAGGGTGGAAATCTCGACTTTCAAAAATCAACTTAAAAACAGCCCTACAACCATTGCATGAATTTGTTTAGTACCCGTGCATAGATTTTGGCGCAATATACCTAGCCGTTTTTGCTGTAGGCTTCGGTGCTTGAATGACTTCGAAGAGAAACTTGTCCAGTGGCGATAAAAAAACTGATAAAATATCTCCTTTTCTTTTAAGAGTCAACATAAAATAGTCCTATGATCTGTGCAGTTTTTAGTAGGTTTGAAAAAAATATTCATAGCCGTTTCTCCTGTAGGTTGGTGAAACAATAATAAGATGAATATTAATAACATGAAGAACGAATGGGTGAATTTTGTCTATCATTTGGAAAATCAACTTTTTGCTATTATCAATATTTTAGCAGCCTTGACCATTGAGATAGAAGGTTTTGAGTGTTGTTTAAAGAACAAGTCTGCTTTTTAAGATGGTTTTTCCCGTATGTTCTATTAGAAGTTTTGTGGAATTTCTGGGCGATTCCTATTATGAACTACAATAAATATTTAAAATGAAACTGTCCCAATTTAAAAATACCATAATGATTTTTCTTGACAGCTGATAAAATTAGAAAATCTAGTGTAAGCAATAGAATATGATCATACAATAATTTTTCTGTCAGATTATTTGCATTAATAAAAACTTCTTGACAAATTAAGCCGTGATATAAATCTTTAAATATATTAAATAAAATTATATTTACTATTTCTACAATTAAAACAAAAAATAATCGACTTGAATATTTTATTGATAAAAAATCCATTTTTGTAAACCAAAATTGTTCAAAAACCATTATTACCATATTTTAAACCTTCTATGATATTTACAAGATACTTTAACTTATTCAACTAGAATAAAATATTTTTATTTACTAAATTTGCTAACACATTGTACTACTGTGTTTAACCGAATGTTCATTTTTAATATATTTTCTACCTGGAAGCATTAAGCTAACATTTAATATGAACAAGCAATAATTTCATTTTTGACATTCTCCCTTGTGCAGTATAAAAACCTGGGATTGCTTGCAATGACAAGCAATTGCTCTTCCAACAGACCTTAAAATGTTAACCCACAACACTTGATACAAAGATTAAATCTGTTTGACATTCTTATGGTTAACGTCGTCAGATATGTTCTTTTTTATGGATAGATTGCTTAAAAGAACCTGATGACACTACAAGAGTGCAAAAAAATTTTATTTTTTGTCAGCAACAGGACACAAACCGTGAACCCTTCGATTCACAGTCCGGGTATGCTAATTATAAGAATATATGAGTTAAAGTAAAGAAAAAATGTAATAATGTCAACCACACTATATCTACAATACACAGTACCAACCAAACATTTGCCTAATGCTACAGCTCATCAGGCTGACTTAGAGACGCCAGACATAGAGCTATTTATATCATCAATTGCTCGATCCACGCCCGACCCAGTTTCTTCAGACTGGTGCTGAGATTATCAAATTGTTTATTATGTATCCAAGTATTATGATGTTAATAACAGGTTCCAACTTTTTATTACCCTCGCCCCCGAAAGAGGAGGGGTGAGCGTTTGCAATCGGGTCACTGTGTGTGTCTGTCTATGTTTCCACGCGAGTATTTTCAAAACTAATAGACCGATGTATACAAAAATTTTACACGAAATGAGAAATCAATATGGGAGAGTCATCCCCAAATTTGGTCCGGATTCTGGATCACTTTGAAGCATTTTTTATAATGAGGAAATAGGGCATTTTTGCTTTTTGGGATTAATAACTCTACAAAGGGTGATCGAATTTGTACCAATTTTTATGGGCACATTAAGGTTGAGACTCCTCATCACTCTGGAAAAAATGATCCGAATCGTTGATCATTCTGGATCTGAGAAGGATTTTTCTGAATTTTCGAAGGTTAAGTTTGACGTTATCCATCATAAAGCATGCAGTCTCAAAGAGGATCGCCAGGACGAGGGTATGCAAATCTTTCTGATTACTTTTGCTCAGTATATAATTTAGCATATGCTAAATATGCTTTATAACCTTTATATGCATTCTTATATTTATTGGGAAATATGCTTTATAACCTTTATATGCATTCTTATATTTATTGGGAAATATGCTTTA